TCCCCCCCCCTCCTTTCTTCCCAGGCTCAGGTTTTTTTTTCCCTGATATTTCTACCTCCTCCTACCAGTGTCCCAAGGGGCAGGGAATGGGGCGTTTTCGGTCAGTCTGCCAGGGTCCTCCCCAGGCCACGGGCAGATCTCTGCTCCTCCAGTGACCTCCATGGGTGGTGGGGGGGTGGCCCTGCTGTCTCACCAGGAGATATGGGGGAGATCTCTGCTCCAGAGTTCCTCTCCCCCTTCCTCCTCCTTCCGTTCACTGACCTGCGTTCACGGAGGTGTCCTCCTCGTACATCATCCTCACAAGTCCCAACCTCCTCTCAGGTTCCCTTTTTAAATATATCATCACAGAGGCACAGCCACTGCTTCGAATTAGCCTGGCCGTGGTGCAAAGGTAGGTCCAACTTGGAGCTGGGAGAGCTTTGGAAAAGCTTCTCACAAGGATCTACTGCTGTAGCCCCCTCCCCTGCTACCAAAAATCCCACCACATAAACCCAGAACACTCCACCTCATCCACAGCTTACACTCCCGTGAATCTGGTTTCACCAAACACTTGTAAAAATAATTATTATGAATCCTCATAGCTTGAATCAGAAATGCCTGTTCAGACTGCACTTCCAACCCAACCCCAGATGGAAATTCTGTCTTAATTTCACTGATAAAGCATCTCTCACCCTGTTCGTCTTTTTTTGTTGTTTGTTTGTTTGTTTTTTTCTTCTTACTTAGAACAATCCACAACAGATACAGATTCATGAGGCTCCATCCGAACCAAAACATTCCTCCCTTGGTGAACATCTGCTTGGTTTATCCATCTGCTCCATTACATGAGCTCCTTTTGATATCCAGAGATATATTCCTGCCAAAATGAAACACTGACACAGCATGTGGAGACCCAGACCCTGTTCCTACTATTCACTATGAGCGACAGATATATTCATAACCTTAGAAAAGCAGAGAGAACACCAGAACCTGTTGACATGCAAGCACTGGGCTAAATTTCAAGATCCTCCTTACAGGCACACAACCTGACACCTATAAAAGTGCAAGAAAATGGATAGCTTGTAGATCTCTACTTCAGGAGAAAAAAACCCACAAAACCAAACAAATAAATAAAATTAGGCACTTCAACATTCCAGTACACACTTACTGAATTGCAAACTGATATCGCTCTTAAAAACGTGTTTTTATTAAGTTGCATAGCAATGTGTTTCTATTGCTAAGCATCTAAAGAAGAAACAAAGCAAAACTAACGTACAAATAATTATTTCTTTCATGTAAGCATCTTGCTTATCAGTTGCAAGGACCATTCTAAAATCTAAAATACCTGAAGTTACTTTCTTATATAAAAAGTGTATCAAGTTACCCCCACTAAGATCTCTGAAGTCAATAACACCACATTCACAGTTAGATTTGGCCATTTTTTAATTACAAAAATCAGTTTTAATATTAATATGAATGTTCAATAAAGGAAATTATTTGAGAACGGGATAACTGTCACGGTTTTTTTTCCTCAAAAAAGTTAGCTTATGAATCCAAAGTGCAAAACCCCCTGAAAAGTGTCTTACAATAACAAACCAAGAACATACAATGAGTTTTCTGGCCAGCCATAATAATTAGCAATGTCAACCTCTTTGAATCTCTCCGGGAACCAGGCAGATTAGTGACAAGGCACTAGAACTTTCCATAATTTATTTTAGAGTTCTCAAAAACTTAAATTTTTGTTTTCAGTTCAGAACCATATTTAAGTCTGAAGCTTAAACATACGACTTAGTAGTTCATAGAAAGTTCTAATTTTTCCAAAGAGCGACTTTTTATTTCCAAAGTATTCTGTTGATTTTGTTGTGTTTGTTTTGTTTTTTTTTTAATAAATTTTCCTCTTTTTCGACTTTACGATTACATTTATTAAATCCAAGCTAAGAAAACACTGATGTTGTGAGTAGTTCCCTCATCTCTCTCCAAAGCCCAGTTGAGCATACAGCATACTGTATTGAGCATACAGTAGTGATTCTTTCTAGTACTTCCTCATGTTTAGGCTGGAAAGAAGAAAGGAAATCCATCACATATATAATGACACTAAGTTTCATTCTTTCTACCTCAGTTAAACAATCAGAAGGGACAGACTCAATACAACAGGCAGTTCTTTGGACTTTGCTAACAGTAGTAGCAAAAACATCTAAGTAACAGGACTGCACAAATGTATATTATTTTTCTGTCACTACTTGCTCATTCCTCCGTATTCACAATGCATACTTTCTCACGGAGGTAAGGTCTTCAGACCAGCCCTACTTTCTATTTCCATGTTTATGCAGCACTCGGTATGATGGGTTCTAATTCAAACTTGACGCCACGAGAGATAAAAAAATAAATAAATTTGTTCTCACTTTTACCATTTAGAATAAAAACAACATCTTCCTATTAGGTGACACTTCTAGAGAAGCCTAACAGAAAAAGGTGCATGCTCTCTGGTATTCGTTCTGGTGGAAGGGGAAAGAATGGTATATAATATTTCTGCTGTGCAAATTCTTATTTTTCTCCCTTTCTGAACCAGCAACAACAATTAATAAACATTTTCTGATTTGAAGTACTGCGTAGAAAAGGCTACTTGCACATACCAGTAAACATTTTATCATCCTCTATGTCTATTGAAAAAGGGAAAGCAACATTCATAACGTTCAGTAAGAAGCCCAAGACAAATTTTAAGAGCAAAATTGCGCACTATAATCAACACTAGGGCCTTAGAAATAATTTCCAATTTCTTCCTGCATGCCGAGAAACACTGCAACACATTTCAGTGTTTTGCTTTATAACTTTTTATATCTTAGAAACATCAGATATGAAAGTCATGAAATGAGTAACGTACTCCTCCATAAAGTTCACCAAGTCTTGGGTGTCTATAATGTTATCATATGCCAATTTCAGCAAATTTATCTCAATGGCACCATAATAGATTTCAATTTCTGACATTTCTCAGCAAACCTTATTGAATGACAATAAAAAAAAGTGTCTAGGGTAAGACAAGAACAACTTTTATATAAATAACATTGGGTAGAAAATTCAGTTATTTCACTCACTAAAACCAGTAACTTACAAGTCAATGCCTAACAAGCATTTTGATCAAGCCTATTAAAATCTTGCCTCTTGCAATAAGTTAATTCACAGCAATATTTGCATTAAAAAGTCACATAAAGATTTTACAGCAGTAAAACGTTCTGTATGCAAAGGGTTTTCCTTTAACTTTGAAATACTTAAAATACCTCGGTATGACCTACCCTAAGACCTAAGATCATAGAAAAAACTTTCACATTACTTACAAATCATTTCAATTCTGCACACCTTATTAGATTTAAATTAGACTTCATGAGATAGACACCACACAGTTATATTGGACTTAATTAAACACATTCAAATATGCTAATGAATTCAAGGACTATTTTTGAGTGACGGTCAAAATGACAAAATGAATAATAAAGTTACTTGCAAAAATATAGTTGCCTATTTGTTTTCCTTTATTTCAATGAGGAATTATCCTGGTTTCAGCTGGGATAGAGTTAATTTTCTTCCTAGTAGCTGGTACAGTGCTGAGTTTTGGATTTAGGATGAGAATAATCTTGATGACACACTGATGGTTTAGCTGTTGCTGAGAATCTTATACTAAGTCAAGGACTTTTCAGCTTCTCAAACTGCCCTGTCAGTGAGGAGGCTGGGGGTGCACAAGAAGCTGGGAGGGGACACAACCAGGATGGATCACCTGACGTGGCCAAGGGGACACCCCAAACCATATGACATAAAACTGGGGGGAGATTGCTAGGGGGTGACAGTCTGCAGCTCAGGGACTGGTTGGGCTTGGTCAGAGGGCGGTGAGCAATTGCCTTGTGCATCACTTGTTTTATATCTTCTTTTATCATTGTTATTATCTTCCCTTCCCTTTCTCTCCTATTAAACTGTTTTTATCTCAACCCACGAGTTTTACCTTTTTTTTTTTTATTTTCCCCCCCATCCCACTGCAGGGGAGTGAGTGAACAGCTGCGTGGTGTTTAGCTGCCTGCCAGGTTAAACAACAGCTAAATTATTCTGTAAGGCATGAAATCCAGTAGTGCTGGAAATAAATAAAAACATCTGAACAAGATTTATGGAGAACTCACATTGAGACAAATCCCGGTCTCACTTTAAAAACTACAATTAGTCTGCAGGTCTTATCCAGCATCATAATATAACAGGCAGAAATCTTTAGCTCCTGAGCAAAGAATAAAATGTGGGTTGGTTTTTTTCCTCTTAATGCTGCTAAAGTGATGTTTCTTTTTGTGAAAACAATGAAATCTAGACTAAATTCCCACAACAAAATGAACTGCCAATCAGTAACACCTCCTTAATCTCTTAGTTCTACTGATAAAGTATAATTATCCATTATCAATGAGCTTTTATTCATTTCTTAAAATCCAAACAGGCAACAGGCATTTCTATAAATTAATAAAAGTAGCTCCATAATGTTTCAGCTTCTGCTTGAGATAAAGGATATGGAATATGTTTTCTAACTTTAAAAACTGCTTAAGGAAAAAAAAAAAAAAAATCATACCTCTGCCTCCCCCAAAGCAACCATAAGACTTTACTACAGTCAAAGAAATTTCATGGAGGAAGGAACATATTCAAGCCCTATTTTTAAGTTTACTTTTTGCAGGTATTTCCATCATTTGCAACAGACCTTCCATCCTCAAAAGTAAGAACATCCTTTCAGTGAAGAAGTTCCATTTCTTCCCCCTATGAGATGGCAATCAGCCTTTGAACTGGATGAACTGTACTTCTCTTTTATTCCTCAAGGAAGTTTAACTTTGAGAAGCGCAGCTTCCCAAAATTATTGTTCAGGAACATTCTTATGCTACATTTTCACTGCTGCCTGCCCTTTTATTTGGTATAGTGTATATACTTTTCTGTGTACTAATATTTACAGTGAATACAGAAGGACAGTAACACATTATTAAGAATTTGTATAGTGATTTTATCAATACCTGTAGGAAAAGCTGCCCAAGCAATAGCAGGGGATGTAGTCTGCTTTTCACCATTTCCAAACTCATAACTCTCTGCTGCCTAGAAACATGAAAAAAAATCAGTTACATATCTTACAACATTATATAGTTTCTTGTAAAAATAGTTGAAAATAATTAAATTTCAAAATTAAGTCATCCAAATAACATACCTCAAATCCCCCAAAGTCATCGTCATCCATCTTTCAACTGGTCCTAGAATACAGCAGAAATCTCGATTTAAAAAACAAAACCACTAAATTGTTCTGTCCCCTTTACTGATAAAATAACGATTAAAACTTTGTAAAACCAAAGGTATGGCGTTAGTTTTAAAGGACAGACTTGGGTAAAACAATTCACTGTGGTCAAACTCTAAAAGCCCAGAAGTATGAAGTAATACATTGCTCTACACTGCAGGAAAATGGGTATATTTTATTGGCCAGACTCATAAGAGAAAGGTGATTTTATGGTCAGCTAGGAGTCAAAAGACAAAATGACTCATGTATTTGTACTTCAGTTACACGACAGGTGAGTAGAGACCTTCAATTGGATAAACTGCTACCTAACTCATCTATGTGCTCTATAACCTCATCACCTCCTCATTTAGAAATGAGTATTCAGTCATTCATCCATCTTCATTTCATCTCCACAGATTACCTGAAGTCTTCCTAATTTGCAAGTCCATCAAAAGATCAAGGGACCTAAGTAAGAACTTTTTCACACAGAGGATGCAAGAACCAGAACTGCAAGATCTCTCTTAAAATGCACTTTTTGTACTGATCAAGATAAATGAAAAAATTGAGTATTCAATGATGGAATTTGAATATCTTCAAGGGAAAAGATAAGCACTGCCCATCAAAACTGTCAAACATCTTTTGAAAGCAAGAATGTAGAAAAATCTTTCCAAGATAGAAAAACAGGAAGATGGTACTTTAAAGGCTTTATGTACTGCTCTCAAGTACAGCAGTCAAGTCCCCAGTACCTCAACAAATGGTACTGAAAACAGCAAATAACCCAGTCTGGATATAGATTTAACATTAAAAAAAAAAAAAAAAAAAAAAACTGGCCATCAGATTCCAAAATGAAGAATTTAATTAGTGAAGAGGCAATGAAGATGACCCAATTTAATGTAAACACGATCTACCATCTACTTTGTAGTTTTGTGTTTATGATTTAAAATATAAAAATATTTTCCATTGTTAAATTGCTTTTCCAAATCAGCACTGTGATTAAATCCAAAAAGATTTCCTGCTTTTCCCATCTCTTCTTAGCTGTCTGGCAACATCAGCACAAACTGCAACTCAGAAAAAGACTGTGGTGAATTTCTGGAAATTTTTCTGCTACCACAGAGGTCCTTCCCTAGGTTTCATGGAGGGGCTGATTTAGATTTTACAAACTGATCAGCATTTTTGAGTTGTAGCCCTGAATTCTGTGGCATTTTGATATATTTATAGTTAAACTGCAGTTCCCTTTACATAAATGCAGGATAAGTTACTCGGCTAATGAAAGTAACTCAAGATATACATGGCTGTTCAAAGAATGGTATTATATGTTTGGGTTTTGGGTTTGGTTTTTTTTTTTTAAATAAATCATTCTGATACATGAATGAAGGATGATCCAAAAAGACCTTTAGGGTCTTTATAGAATGTCAAAACATGTGTAAAGTTAATTGACTTCAGTTAAAAGAGACTATAGACTGGAGAAACTTTTATTACTGTGAAAGCACATGCCCAGAAACAGAAGCATTCAAAGGGTTTGGAGGAAATCTCCAAATTAAAATATCAGAATGTCAGAAGGGGACATTTTCAGTTTATATCCACTGCTGAAAATCAGTGGATATACTGATCTTCAGCAAGGGACACTACCAAGAAATACTTCAATTCAGACACACATCTTCCAAAGTTTAACAAATCAATTTCCAAGTTCTTATTGATTAATTTAGTTTAAATCAACACTATCACAGTATAAGCAGACAGATTTGGTTAAATTAAAGAAGAGTAGTGTCCAATATTCCCATGTGGTGTAAGAACTAAGGATCTTTGTAGGGACTGCAGGGGGCTTTGTTGGGTTTGTGTTGGTTGGGTTTTGTGCTGTTTGGGAGGTTTTTTTAAGAGAGAAAGAAGGTAGTTGGGTGTTTTTCTCATCCATTTTAACTTTAATCAGTCAAACACTCATTCCATTAACGGTCAGAGCTTTAATATGTAACTCAAAAAAATACGCACACACAAATGCTAGCAATGGACATTGTACAGGTAGAACGCCACTGCTGAAGCAAACAGCGACGTGCAAACTGAGAATGTTGACATATTCACGCTACCTACTATTAAACGTCACCCAGAAGACTGGTGATTTGTATAGGTACTGCAACATGCAGCATTCAAGCAGCAATCAGAGCCATCAGCTGGAGGAATTGAGGCTTTAGAAAGGCAAAGAGGTATTTTATCTTTACACTGTGTGTCACATCAACAGGTCCTACGGGCTGGACCCAAAGTTACTTCAAAGGCCCACAGCAGATTTCCTCCCTGAAGAGTAAGAGACTATTCTCATCATCAAGGAACTGGTTATGTCTCAACTGGAGAAAGTACACTCCCTGTTCAGCACTGTGTTTTAAAAACCCAAACCAGAACAAGTTCAGAGGAGTGTAACAGGAATTAAAGCAATTTTGGAAAAGCACATTAACATGGGAAGGCTTTTTTTAAAAATAATTTTAAAAGGCAAACAAAATTATCTATAAAATATGAAAAATTATGTTCTAAGAAGTGATTAACTACTTTCATTTATCCTCAAATGCAGCACTGACATAAGGCAGTAAAGGACAAAATTCTCTGTAGGCAAGACCTGTGTTGAATACTAGTGAGGATTTCCAGGAAGGCAACATAAACCCCTACAAGAAAATTCCTAAGAACTTATGTATACATAGAACAGAAGTAACTTCTGATAAAGGATGAAGGGCAGGAAAAAAAAAAAAGTGAAGAGCAACCTGCTGTTATTGAATCCACCATCTTTGTTACTACATTTCATATACACTTTTCATCAGCCTGGTAATGATCACAAGACTCTTTTGACCTAAGATTACCTTACTCCACAAGTTAACACAGACATTTCATGGCTGTAACTGCATGATTAATCTATGAATTATTCCACACATCATTTAAATGGAATAAAAGAGAAACAGACTCCAAGCAAGTCTCAGTAGTATCAACAGTGTTTTCATGCCTAACTGCTAATCCTCCAATTTCCAGTTCTTCAGAGATCCCACAGGAATTCTAGGCTAAGTGATTCTCAACCAGCTAGGAAGGACTGTTTGCTATTTGTCTATGAAAAAATATATATTCATACAAGCATACAAGTACATGCACCTCTGTTTTCAAAGACAAAGCTTTTAGTCCATCAAAAAAAAAAAAATCCCAATTTGTTTACATGCTTTGTTTCCTGTAGGGAAAAAAAAAATAAATTCCAATTTGTTTACATGCTTTGTTTCCTGTAGGAAAAAAAAAAAAAATCAAACGAAACGGGCAAACTTAGCATGTATCATGAGCAAGCAGAGAGCAATAGGATAGAAAGCACGGATTCATTCCTAGAGGGATGCTGACTTCAAAAACTCAAAGGCTGAGGTGTTCTTTAAGAGAGTGTTAGTGCAAGAGCTCTTATTAGGAGATATCTTTCCAAAAAGATGTTTCTTCTTGCACAAAAAAAAGAAAAGCATGCTTTCTGCAAGGAGAAGGGAACAGGGCCTCGCCAATGTTTTAAGAACGGTTTAGAAAAAAAAAATTAATCAAGCCTATTTTTAGCTAGGAGTCTTTTATAGCCCTCAGAAGTACACATGCATCTTGCTCTAAAAAAAACCTTCTGAATAATTCATTATAAACCTAACTGATAACAATGTTGAAAATATGGCTAAATACACAATTTCCCAATTCTGCCCCTTATTCTGGTGATGGAAATGTATTTCTGCTATAAACAAACAGCAGAACTAGCCTAATCCCTCACACAGAACTGCAATAATTTTGGGAGCAGCATTTGTTAATCAATCTATTCCAAGATGGGTAATCTGACTTTTCTGTCCTCACAGACTAGAAACATTATTTGTGGCACCGGAATAGGAAAGAATACATTAAGTGCTGACAATCTGCAGAAGGATTTAAAAAATAACAAAAAAAAAAAAAAAAAAAAAAAAGAAACAACCCACACAGTCTTACCATGACTAAATGTGGTCTCCTAAAATATGCCTGATACTGGAATTAAGTAACTGTAAAATTGGGCAACAAGAAGTCAACCTCAAAATTACAGATTCATAGAAATTATGGTTGGAAAAGACACAGTAGGTCATCCAGCCCAGGCCATTTCCAAAACATTACAGTTCTCAAGACGGTCGTGTCCTAAAAGGCTTAAGAAGTTCTCCAGTCACACTCCTGCAAAAAGTAGGAAACTTTTCATGGATCACAAGTATGTAAACCACTGCCACTTTCAGTAGATTTTATCGAGACGTTTGTGTTCAGCAAAATAATAATTTAGGCCAGAATTCAGACCAGCAGGTCATACAATCCACGCTCCTGCTCAAAGAGGGGTCAACACCGCATTCAGGTCAGGTTGCTTAAGACTTCCTTCTCTACGACGGATAGCAACGCATGATGAATATATTCAGACACACACACAGACAGCTGTGCACATCCGAGATGCTCACAAGCCTTCCGACAGAAAACACAGTCACCAAAGCCTGACCGTCAGCTTAACACGGGTCATGAGAACTCTGTGAAACGCACTTACCTAACAGCCAAAATCATGGGTTTATATACAGGAAGATCAGGAGCCATTCACAAGGAATAAGACAGAAAGATGTAAGCTGGGAAAAAAAGCTCATCTTCCCCACTTTTAACTGTTAGGAGGAAAAGGAATGTTGTAAACCCACCAGAAATCCCAGTACTCTTCATATCCAAAAGGAAAAAGTGGTAGAGAGACCAATCAAGGAATTAAGAAGGATTCTTCGTTCACTTAAAAATCTACCCCTGGTTAAATCAGAATTCCAATTAATCAAATCCTGATCTATATTGCTTGATAAAACAAATATAAGCTTGCCTCAGTAATAAAGACAATTAATTCTGCCAAGCCCATTCAACTAGATGATAAATTAGCTGGTCTGTAATTTTGAGCAAGTAGTTAACTTACTTGCTGAATTTTGTACATTTGAAAGGAACATCTTACAGAGCATATTGCTG